TCTTTGAACCAATACCTTGCCCCCGGATCCCGTAGCAAATCTGCACGTTGTTCACCCTTTTCATAAGCCGCACGAATCAAATAGGGGATACGACAACAGAGTCATAACATGAGCAAGCTCATAGTCACAGAATGCGTGAATAGGCATCAGCCGAAGCGCTTTGCTTTCCCGGCTTATACTTCACCTCGAAGTTATATCCTGCAAAGAACGAAAGCCATTGAGCCATTCTCTGAGAGAGACGTGGCGACTGTGTCGCAGTGCGCAATGACGCATGATCTGTATATATCACAAGTGGCTTTGAGCCAAGCAGATTTACTCTGAATTTGACCATAGCATACTTCATAGCAAGTAGTACTTTGTCATGAACTGGATTGTTCTTTTCAGCAGCTTCAAGCTGGCAAGACCCGAACGCAATGACGCGCCCACGTCCATCAACATCTGTTTGTAACATAGCACTGCCTATGGAAAAGTCAGATGCGTCACAGACGACACTAAAGGGTCGATCAGGATCGGACAAAGCCAATATTGGCGCACGAAGGAGACTCTCCTTAACCACTTTATAAGCATCGAGCTCAGTATTACCTCAACACCAATCCACATCCTTTTTAAGGAGATTGGATAATGGCCTAGCCATGTCTGCGTAATTCGCACTTTACTTATGAAAGTAATTGGCAAGGCCGATCCACTTACGTAAATATTTCTGGCTCTTAGGAGTCGGCCAATCGACTATGGCCCTTACCTTAGCGGGGTCCGCTCGAAGGCCTCGCTTCCCAGCGAAGCACCCTAGAAAGGGGATCTTTTTTGCACCAAAGATGCACTTAGATGCATTAGCGTAAAATTTGTTCGTGCGCATGCACTCGAGCACCGCTCGTAAATGATCAACGTGGTTATCCACATCTGATCGACCATCCGTTGCAATACTATGGACAAAGATGTCGTCAAAGTACGTTTTTGTGTAGCCTCGATAAGGTCTGAACAGTTCCGTCACTAGACGGTTAAAAGTAGCCGGGGCATAGACAGCCCTTGTGGCATAACGATCCACTCCCGGAGCATACCTCTCGGAGTACTCACCGCTGTTAGCGGATTACCACTCGATCGCATGAGCAGATGGTGATAATTGTCGACTTAGTCAAGCACAATGTACAATGTACATCCCACCATATCGTTCTAAAGAGCATCCTTTCAAGAAATGGGCGTCTGCGCCAGTATAGTGGCTGCAGTCTGCATGAATCTTAACATAAGCATGCACAATGCGCCACTTGCCATTTGGCTTCTTGACACAAAAAGTTGGTGTCGAGTGCGGAGATTTACTTTCACGAACCATTCCAGCCGTGTGCTGAGCACGCAAGAAATCGTCAATGACGTCACACTGTTCTTTAGGCAAAGGCCACTACCGTTTGCGCATTTTTTAGTTCCTAGAGATAAGTCAATTTCATGACGTACACCTCTATCAGGTGGTAATATTGGTGGTGGATTGTGACACATCACATCCTAAAATTCCTAAACCAAAGCATAAAAGAAATGGATCCAAAGGATCTTTAAGGATTGAAGATCCACTTCGAGCACTAAGTGCCGCCTTTTTGTTTTCTAGGACAGACTCATCCATTAATGAGGACGAATTTAACTCAACATCGGGTCTAATGACCACTAATTCGGATAAATCTCCTGCCTTTAAGGCCTGGCTAAACTCGCCGTCAGACATTTCGTTCAACTCACACAGAGCATCCAAAGATGGAAGGGTTTCAAGGCTAACATTGCCATAAACCTGACCAGTCACTCCGTTAACAAGCGTATATAGTGCATTACCTTTATCACTCATTGACTGTATGGACGCCTGACGCTTTACAGTTGCTACCTGGCGTCCAAGTCGTCTCTTGGAGACATTACACCCCTTAGGGGCCGGGAACATACCGTCTCCTTTACTACTAATAGTAGTGCGCTCTATACGAGAACCGATGTCGTGACCGACCTCCGGTGAAGTGCTACAAAACTCGAACTATTCACCCAGTGGATTTCGACCTGCCACTCCACGTACATTATGCGGGCCAAGCCCCGAACTGAACACGTTTTGCCAACAATGTCATTGCCGACATTGAGTGTGGTGCCTTCACGGCCGACCACACTCGGTATAATTTCACGTGCCACCCTACACACATCAAAGGAATTACATCCTTGATACACCGGCCCTCGGCCAACCATGCTTTCAGCATGCGGAGGCTCGTTATCACAACGGGTAACACTCGACGAAGCACGTTCCGTATCACCGATATCTAACGATCTACCCTCGAAATCTATGTTTACAACAATGAAGCTAGACAACTCAGACATTCCAATGTCCAGCACATTGACATCTTCTGCCAAAGGCTCGCGCCAGTAGTGCTTCTGTTGCCTATCGAAGGTGGGTTCATGACTCTCCAAAACTTTGCTAGGAACGTTGCGCGTGGCGCCTAAGGTCTTAGACCTTCAATAAATCCATGGCTAATGGCGCTCAAGCCAAGCCATGCCAAGGATAAGATTATATCTCGATTCCAAATCAAGGACAAGACAGCGTTTAATGCTGTCAAATTCTAAAAACTGCATACCTAAGTTCAATGGAACTTTAGGCACAGTAACATGACTTCCACTCGCTAAACGAACCGTGATAAAATAACCTTCATGCGCTGTAAGCGCCTCAGCCTAACGCTGACTTCCCTCAAGGAAACGACGTCGAGCATAATTGCAAGATGCTCCAGAGTCGATCAATATCGACCAAGGCCTCTCAAAGCCCTTAATTTTCGCCTCGGCGACTAACAAGCCAGACTTGTATCCACGCTCCATACCAATAAGTACGGATTTCTATGGGTCTAAGCCCTGTTTAACTTTACCTCCTAAAGGTGTAACAGAATCCAGTTCTTCCTCAGTAGGGCTCCCCGCACCTACTGCGTGTCGGCATTTCTCTGCGCCATGCCAGACTTCTGGCTCGGGGTTGAACGTTGTCTTGTAGCCTGACGCTGTTTACGCAAAGGCCAACCAGGCTGCAAGTGTTTAGTGCTTCCGCACGTAAAGCATCGTCGTACGACGCGTTGCTGCTCAGCAGATTGAAGTTCAACTTCATCTTCAGCATAGCTGAGATTCATCGGTTTTGGCCAATTAAAGACCGGACCACTCGTGGAGTTTTCTCTTGCAGAGCTAGGGTTGCACCCATTTCAGAAAAGCCTGGTCGACTTGAAGTTATGCTCAGCATTTAGAGAAATTCTCACGGCCTCTTCGAAAGTAAAGGGGTGAACCCGAAAAACTTCGATTCTGACAATGCCAGTACGAAGACCTTCCATGAAGATAGTCACATTACCTGCCTCGGGCAGAGGGTCAGACTGCATTGCAACCATGAGAGCTCTCAACGCTTGGACATAGTCCCCCGATAGCTCATTCTTACCCTGACGGGTAGATAAAAAGCTTGAACGCACGCAGTAAGCTTGGTTAGGTGGCGAGAACACCTGTACCAATTGTGACTTAAGCGACTCCCATGTGGGAAATGCTAATTCAACCGACACGTGCTACACGTCAAGGCCCAGTCTCTACCTCTTCCATCGAGCTTTGAGATAGCCAGCGATACCTGTTGATGGTCAAACTTGATCAGGCCTGATCTCATGGTCATCTCAATTTCACGGATCCAGAGGATGAGGTTTTCACCCTCCTTACCGGAGTAATTCTTAACTTCCACTCTAAGTGGACGAGGCCTAGCCTCTTCATCTGGTACAGACACATAGCGTGTAGGCGTATCCGACTCTACTTGGTCTTGGACCTACCCTAAAAGGTGTCGCTTCATACTGCATGAAGTCTTCAACACGTGCATTTAGCACCTCAGGTCCTTGTGAAACAAGGAACTCCACGTACCCAAAAATGCGGTCAGCTTATCAAGCGCAACTTTTTGGGCCTCAGAGAGGGGAGTGGGGGTTTCCATCCTCACAGAGGATCAGTCTTAGACACTCAGGCATAGATTAAATACAAGTGCTGTAGCGGAGCTAAGCAACTCCTTAAGTCAGAGGAAGACTTAACGCTCAACGAGCAACTTAGTTCTAAAGAACTAGACTTAAAGAGTCAACAATTGTAAAGCTTGTTGTGGTCCTCGTTCCAGGGGACTGAACGATTCAATACATCGATAGCACTTCGTGCTCAAGAGTAACTAGCTACCTCAAGGAGGTGTTGGTAACTCTTAGTGATCAGTGATCAACGACTAAAGACGCCTCGCAAGGCACGTGTCTTTAAGATCAAAAAGGGAACTGAATTTCATTTACATTTACACCTATGGAATATCTTAATCCTAATCTAGACACTTATGTCCTAAATTAGTACAACTAAGATTTTTCCTATCTGGTGGCTGACACCAGTCAGCCCCTATAAACCGAGAAGATATTCTATATCTCTTTCAGTGGGATATCATCCGTGTGTCTAAGACACAGGCTACCTAGTACCCAACTACGTGTAACCCCTTTACATAGGTTGGGAGTGCGCCTAATAATTCCTATAGTAGTACAGTAAAACTGTTAGAAATAGGCTGAAATGATTTAAATTGGTAAAAAACTTTAATGCTGATAAAAAGTGTTTGTAAGTGTAAATACTTTTTAACTGTTGGTAAGAATGAGTTAATGGCTAAAAGCCCCGGAAATGCTTTACCTAACATCCTTCATATGTACCATGCCACATGCTGGGCTATTCTTTACATAACGCGTGCTAATCTTTGCCCATCGCTGAAAAGTGCGTCGTACGATTGTCGGTCGCCGACCTCGATTCAGCTCATGCGCTGCTCTCATGTAAGTATCTCCCTCCTACAAATTCCCATATCTATCGTAAACTTTCCTTCGGAAAGCTTTTGACTTAGGTGTCGCCCGCACTGCTCTCCCCCCTTCCAAAGCACAAACACCCACGTACTACACACACGCAGCACGTCGCCACTCGCACTCTCTACCTCCCAACGCCCAACGCACGTCGACTCGCCCTCCGCAGTTCCATACAAAATCCCCATGGCCGCATCAGCGTGTATTCAGTGGATCCGCGACGAGCTCGAGGCCCACGGCGCGCTCGAGACGCTGAGTCCGCCGCTCGTGGACACGACGTCGCTGTGCGAGTTCGTCACGGACGGCCGCGCGCTGTGTTTGCTGACGAACGCCGTGCTCGAAAGCGAGGAGGACGAGCTGCCCAAGAAGCTGCGGCGCTCGCTCAAGCAGCAGAGCAAGTTCCACGCTCTCGAGCGCGTGCAGTTTTTCCTCAAATGGTGCCGCACCCGCGCCGAGCTTGAGGAGCACCAGGTGTTTACGACGGTGCAGCTGCTAGACGAAGTGAACGAGACGGCCGTGTCCGAGACGATTGTGGCACTGCGGTGCAAGACGCGACCCGGGGCCAAGGGTGGAAATGCACTTGCCCAGTATTACTTTGACGGCGGTGTCGCGAGTCCCGCTCCGTCGTCGACCAGCGGCACGACCAAAATTAGCAGCAGCACGACCTCGAGCGCCAATAATGCCAATCGTCTCAGTTCGTTTCTGAACAAGTTCCCGTCGTCGCCCGCTGCAAAGCCGCCCATGAGCCACAACCGGACGTCGTTGACTTTCAGTGTCGTGAGTAGTAATCCGTCGCCACGGGAGGTCGAGGAGCCTGTGCCTGGTGATGAAGATCATGCGGACTATAGCAACAGTTACTGCAGCAGCAGTAATATGTCCCGTCTGCGCATTCCGTCTATTTTCAAAGGCCAGAACAGTGCCAAGGCGTTGAACGCATCGACCACTTCCCGGAGCAGCGTCATCAGCAACCCCTCGTCGACAGCGTCTACCAGTAACGATGACACTCGCGAGTCACGCTCGCGCTCATGGTCGAGCAAGCTATCTGCCTTCTCGCGCAGTCATTCGTCGTCACCTGGTGTTAAGACGCCGTCGTCTACAGGCGATCTCGAGAGCAGCGGGACACCGCAGTCGTCGCCCCCCGTCTCGCCACACACCAGGATTAGTATTCCTATTGCCTTTTCTGCTCCTGCTTCGGCGCCCTGCAAGTCAATGTCGAGGCTATCAGCATTTCTTAGCAGTGTGGACACGTCGGTATCTGTGACGCCTACCAATGATGTTCTTCCACAAGATGAGAAGGCATCGAATTTTGCTTTCGAGACCGTGTCGAAGCCAGATGGGGAAGTTGTACAGGAAAAGGGCGTAGAAGCCGCTGTTTGTGACGACAATCAAGTAAATCAAGAAGAAGAGGAACCGGCACGTATTGATGATGATGTGTCTGCTATGGGGAAAAGCAAGGACATGGAGGATGAGACTGAGGGTAAGCCGCTGAAGAAGCCACCGTTGAGCGGGAAGCTGATTGCATTCTTGCAAGCTGTTGAACCTGAAAGTGCGATTGTGTCGGAGAGAGAGGTTGTGGGAGAGAAAGATAACGACATTGTAGACGTGGAAGCTGAAATGTCTACGATAGTCGATCACAAGACTCTTGTCTTTGATACGAAGACTACGCTTGTCGAGGACGTGGTTGCTGAGACTGAGAGTGACGTATCGAATGATGAAGCATACGAGTGCCAAGCTAATTCTGAAACAGAAGAGACAAGCACACAAGAGACAATTATAGAAGAGGCGCTTGTACACGAGACAACTTCACCACATAATGTCGCCAAACTTAGTGGTGAGGTGGCGGTGGAAGCTGAGAGACTCTATGACGAGATAGGTGAGGGGGAGATGGAGGAAACTGTTGGAAATGAATCTGGAGAAAAGCTTAGGGACGCTGCTGACGTTGCACAAGTCCAGCCTGTGCCCATTGAGCTTTTGCGCGAAAACGAGCGCCTTGCAACAGAGAATGAAGCTCTTACTCATCAGTTGATTGCAGCTGAGGATGCAGAAACGAAAAAAACCGAACAGCTACTAGCCTTGAGCCAGGAGATTGAGTCTTTGAAGGCACGACTCGTGAAGGAACAAGCAAACTCGCAAGAAGCAGTTTTGACGGCAGCGAAGGTCCAGGAAGCGCTTGTCGCTGAGGCTCGCACTGAACTTGCAAATTTACAGCAAACGTGTACAAAGTCAACGCCTACCGCTGAGGAGGCAAATGATACGTCAGCTCAGATGATGGAACTGATAGCCCAAAACAAGAGCTTGACGGCTGAAATAACGAGCTTGCGCGAGGACGTACAGACGTTGGAACAATCTGTTCAGCTAGCGCGTGACAGCGAAGATGCAGCGAGATACGCTGCACAAGTGGCATTTGCGGCACGTGACTCTGCGGACGAGGTGAACCAACAACTGAAGGATCAAATTGCGCAGCTTGAAAAATTGTAGACCATCGAAGCTGTAGATCAGTTTGTGAGTGTAGATCACCTTTTGCTCGCGGGGCTATGGGCTGCGGAGCGGCGTGGTTAATTTTGAATTGCTTGCGTAAGGAAAAAGTCATTTGTAGCTGTTTTATTATACGGAATCCGTTTGATAACCTGCTAAACTTCGTCGCAGTACTAACGCACCAGCAAACCCTACAGCGATGAAGAGGCACACCACAAGAACAAAAATACCAAGGAGATGCAGCAGGCTTTGGAGATACACTCGCACGTCCGTGGCTGACCATTCTGGACATTTGCCGCATTCGGCGATCTGAAGGGTAGCACCAAAAGTTAGTTCACGTACGAGATTCATGACACGTGCATGCTGTCTACGGCCGCTGCGATACGTACATCGTTTCCTATGTAACCTTGGTCAGGATTATCGTTTAAAATCATCATATCCCTGAGGCAGTCGCCACCAGTAGCACTCTCTTTAATGCCAGACGTCGAGCTGTCACACGCAACCCAGTAATTGTCGAAGGCGCGCATAGCTCCTTCACATCGCGTCATCTCAAAAACCAGTTCGGTGCAGTTCGTACACCCCGGTAAACTGAGATCACACGCCAGCTTTGAGCTTGTCTTTTGCTCCTGAAATGTCCATGCCAATTTGTCCGGATAGAAGAAGGCGCTGAATGAGCAAAGCACTAGCGCAACGAGACAACCTCCAAGACCGATGATGTACTGAGACAACGAGTCAGTCAGTTCTGTGAATTCGCACCATGTGCCCATTATTTCAAATCGTACGGCGAGGAGCAAGGATCGGCTTCTGGCCCTCAAGGTGATGATGCCCAGCACAGAGAGGGCAAATAGCAGCGCGCCGACGGTGATGAGAATAATGGCTACATCGACACAGCCAAGAACAATTAAAACACCACGTACCAGCATTATAGCTATACACGTCTTACAATCCGTACCCATCCATTTTTGTCCTGACGTCATTTCATCGTGCGCATAACACAACAGCCCAACAGCAAACAGCCCCGTGCCTAGTATCATGAAGACTACGTTTAGGACCGACTGCATGCGGCGCATGACGACTGGTACCGTCACGATGCGCACGACGAAGTACATGGCCGATATGACCAGCAGCATGCATACTGTGCCCAACCCGCCTACAATCACTGCACAACGCTTCAGGTACTGCACCGTATCACTGTAGGTGGTACAGCACGGCTTGTCCCTCAGAGCCGATGCAGCCCAGTGATGTTTGATCCAAGACTCAAGAGCGTCTTGAAAGAAGAACGCGGCGTAGCACATGACAAAGAGGCTCGAGACAAGCAAAAAGTTACAGCCGAAAAACAAGAGCAAGATTCGACTTTTGCGGTCGCGCTTGGCGCCAACGAAGCCCAAAACCGAGAGCAGCATGACAAAGCTACTTAATGTCACCAGCGCTGCAGCACTAGATCGTAGGTTCGTGGCCCTCCGAACTTGGAGCGCAAAAATCCACATGAGAATGCCGCAGCTGAAGCTCAGGACAGTCAGTACGCGTAGATTCGTGCGTGACTGGCGCATGCTCGATTGATGTTATCCGCTCAACGTGTTTTAACTCGAGATTTAGACAGACATTTTTAGAACAGATAAGCTCGATTTCTGATTTTTGTCGGACAGACAGCACTTTGATACAAGAATACGCGGTATATTGATTGGGGCAGAACACGAGTCGTTTAGTTTCCATTAACAAAGCATTTTGTGTGCTCTCTGGTACTCCTTAACAGCTTGAATTGTTCGTACCTCGAGTGCTGGTCTCTGCACAGATGAACATAGTATCTCAAAATCTTTAGCTGGTATACTAATGTTTGAATAACACCGAAAGATAAAAGAATCGAAAAATCAAACCCATTTTTCTTCAATTTACACCCTTCGCCCAACCTATTTTTCATACTATTCCCGCCAAACTTGATATCCGCACCCCTCCAGCAAACGCCAGATATTTACTCACCCTCCAAGTATTTACTTACTTTGTACATACATCACAACCTCGGAAGTTCTAATACTTATGCGCGTTCCTTATATTCATACTTTTGAAAGTGAATATTGAGCCTTCATTTTTTGTTTGTGAGCCTTCATCCCATACATTAAACATGTAATTGGATTCAGAAGCCTCTTGGTGGTCGATGGAAGCTCCATCGCGTATGCTACTCACCCTCTAGTTGCGCTAAGTGCTATAATACACCCATCCGTTTGATTTGCCTGCCGAGAACATCTTGACGAGATTGATGAAGAGCTTTCGAACAAGGAAATGTGTGGTTGATGGGAGTTTAATTACGTGGTGATAAAATTAATTGAACGTAATGTGCATTTTACGACCGATCATTTACATCTACATCAAAAGTTAGACATTCTAAGTTTATTGACAGCATCAAGTATATGATCGATCGAACGGCAGGTTGTTATCGACCCGTCGCACTTCTGGAGGTGCTGTAGGCACTTCTTGTATCTTTCTAGTTAAAAATGTGCTTAAGTTGTGCCCTTGTTGCCCGCAGCATCCACATCGTCGAGGCCGCGTGGTATGCAAACAATTTTCTGTATACTCAAAGTGAGATTATTGCTGCAGCTAGAGCTTGTTGGACACCCGCGCGTCCTTACCAAAACATAATCATGGATAACAGCATCTGAAGCAGCAGAAGCATGATCACGTAGCATTCCTTGCCGACTTCTGTCAAAATTAGCATAACTCTCACGAAAATCTCTCAACAAAGCACCGTAAACGAGAGTTATGACTGTTTCGGTGTCAGCCCTTCGTGGAGAGTTTAGCAAATAATGAACAATTCTTCTTCCTATAACATCAATAGGATTCAACCATCGAGATCCTCCAATCCTTACTTATAAATTGTATGGGATGAAGACCCGTATGCGAAATCTAAAGGCTTTTTCATCCGGTCCCATTTTTGATCATTAGTTTTGCGCCGGCAGAGTGAAATCTCGAATCTGAGCGAAAATTTACAGACAGTTATTTTTGTACGAGTATTATGGTCTGCAGTTATTGTAGCATATTTAAAGCGGACGCTAAGAGATGAAACAACATCGTACCAAGCGAAGCTCGTGCAACCTTACACCAACCAAAACATACTAAACAATTTTATAGCGATAAACCATCATTTTACTATAACCGATATTAAGTTGTTTAAATTCGCATCCAACGTCCGCTTGATCCTTCTTCGTGACATCTACTTGTGAGCCTCCCTCAGACGCCGTCATTAATATCGAAATGTTATCTCCTCTAGAGGTTGAGTTTATGCCAAGAGGAACTCTATGGTGCTGTTTAGAAGTTTGCACACGTCCAAAGCTATACTATTTGTGTTTCACCTTCGATTACAATAAAATGGCCTACTTTGAGTGTGACCGGGGTACTGTGATCGCGCTTTACTCTGATGAATTGCGCCAACCTCATACCAATTTATACAGTCGACTGTCCGATTTTCAGTGAAAATAACGCATAAGTGGTGTAGCTTCAAGCCGAACGTGATATAGTGCAGTCACAATCACTATTCAACACTGCATCAATTTGATTATCCAAGAGACCAACAGGTGCAAGCGGTCGAGTCTACCTGTCACACATTATACCCCGACTGGTTTCTAAATATTATGCATACTTTCTGCTATCCGAAAGATGGAAGGAAGGTATCTTGCGAGCCTATCTACGCTATGTAATGAGCTTGCAAAAGTGCAGAAGTACATTTTATTTAGGAAGAAACTGATTTAAGCTCTTTCCGATGAATTGAATAGATTAGATTTATTTGCTTTTACAAATGCGAAGTTGATGGAATGATTACATATATTTTGCTTACCAAGAAAGTGTTCGGCTCACTCGGAAAAATTTTATCGTACGGCGCTTATGGAAACTACAATCAAGACAATTAAATACCGACTCATCCGACTTTTCATCTTAGTAATGACGAGCTTCAAGAGCCATTTCAAGTTGCATTTTGCCTTTGTAACGGGTGTACACAACACTTGGTATAGATGTTATGTATCGTGTGATCCACTCACGGAAAGATCATCGAAGAAGATGGGCGCACTAACGTATCCAATAAGCTAATGATAAGGCCACTACAACAGGATCACACGACTGTTACCTCCCTTAAAGGATATACCTTGTACATGTGATACACGAAACTTAGCTTTATCTGTGATAACTAATGTGGTTGGTATCCTTAGTCATCTAGTGATGACAGATTAAAGTACCATCCATCAATCTTTAATTGACTGAGGATTACTATGCGAATGAGTTTAACCTAAAGTATTAGGTAGTTGAATAAGGTTTATTACCGATATAAACTAAGAAATAAAAGTTTAGTTCCCCTGTTGATCTTCAATTGACACGTGTCTATGTTAGACGTCAGCAGATCGTTACTAGTAAGAGCCAGACTATAGCGTATCCTTTAGAGCACATTGCGCATACAATTCTTTGAGTCGTAGTTAGTCCCGTAAACTAGCCTAGAAGCTCTACAAGCTTAAAGGCCCTCTGAGTATTTGCTGATTAGTTCTAAGAACTATAGTCTCTTAGAAAAACAAACACTTAGCTCCGTTGAGTGTTTGTTGGTCCGAGAGACCATGGTTCTAGAGCCTTTAGTCTTCCTCTGACTGAGAGCTGTGCAGATCCACTACAGCCCTTATTTATTGTAAATCAGCATACATATTAGATGTGGTTTTTAATGTGGTAAAATTAGTAGAAACTATACCAGGACTCCTTAAGGAAAGTGTCTTCAGCAGTAAGTCTAACTTGACTTTTTGTATCATCAAAAATCATTTTCTTTAGCTAAAAGCATAAATGCGCGCCACAGTAGCGAGATAACGCGTGTAAAACTCGAGAGTGAAAGTAAGTTTTTTATTTCGTCTACGTTGTGTAATTCTGTGACACCCGAGATAACTGTTTTGACTCCATCTCATTGGCTCAGAAAATTTCATGTCAAAAGGTCATTAGTAAAGGGTAGTTACATTTCATTGGGTGCATATGATAGCAAAGAACGATGTATAAATGTCGATGACATGGTTCTAAATGGCACTTGCAAACCCATACCTTTGCGCCTAACAGACGACCAAAAATACAACAAAGGCGACCATAATTTTACCAGTCACGTTCGGCCGAAATTCTTATCAAATAGTTATACTGAATGCTGTGAAGGTTATCGCGGTTTTATTTGGGGGGTAAACTGGTGTTTGATTGGTGCACGAAAGTTTAGTTATGCTCACTTCTGGAGACGCTCTTGGGCATCAGTGTTTGAAGGCGATATAGCAGATGAGGTTTATTATCTCTATAGATATACTATTAAATTCAATTCCCATTTTAATCGTTAAGGGACGCGTCTTACTTAGACGAGCGGGCATTAAGGCAGGAGCTCTATGATATCGGTGCCACGCGATTTAGAGAATCGTTAGTCCTTTAAAATAGGATTGGAAGCTTACCGTGTTCCTTTAGCACTTAGAGAAGAGTCTCGTTATTTCTGTGAACAATTGATAACCTTTAAGATTTACACCGGTTTCTTTTTGTACACTATGAGACTCCACGATTCTACAAACTTTCTTTTGACAAAGGAGTTAGTGTAACTCCGCTACAACTTCCTTAAAGACAGAAAATTAAGTAGCTTACATTGTACAATATCGAGACTAACAGCCACATAGACACCTAAAAATTACCCGGGTTGTTTTGCGACAGCCCACGAAAAGTCATGATGGCAGCTATTGGTCAATTTCTCCATCGTCGTTCTGTCTGCTGTCTGTATGGCACATCAACAAGACCATATTGAGTGTTTACATAAGACTTTGATATGAGTGAGGCCTAAACTGTATATCTCTAAGACTCGAACATTTTTCTGGGAGCAACAGAAAAGCGCTTTATATAAAACAATACAAAGAGAATTCTTTTGGAATTGGAAATAAAATCAAGTGTTTGCGGATATCCCCCGAAGACGTCACTGTTATGCAATGAACAGCTTTTTTAATGCGCGTAAATTTAATGTTATCACTCTAAAGAAAAGAATTAAGTTGTCTATTAAACCATAATAGACACATTAAAATCCTAGGAATTCAACAATACTTTTCATGGATTTTGTTTTTGACGGACTCACCTTCACAACCAAATTGTCTGCTTTACTTTTATCAATATGATATCCCTTTCCCTTGAAGCACAAACAAAGATAGCAGAAAATACCATGCGTGACACAACCGACGTCCACACATTAAAGCCTATCCCAAGCTCTGACGTTAAATATTATCTTTGCAGCTCTTTTTAAACTCTGTTTTATCTCGATTCGATCTTCTTTGACCCCCACAGAGCATACCCATAATTTCTAATTGCCGGCAAAGCACCTCAGGTCTGGTAGGAACAGCCTGAAATAGGAAATGCAACGCCACATTTTTGCTCCATATGCGGTGTATCACAGCTGTGTGTCTGTCTTAATTTGCTAAACCAAGGTAAATGCGTTAGTTAAAATTAGATAATGTGCTGAGCTCTGTTACGGATTAAAGAGCCAGTCTTCCTGGAATTGATTCCGGACGGAAGCCATTCACCC